AATATTTGGATGTGCGGCGGGGCCCTTGATAATATTTGGGGCGGCGATGGGCTTGATAACCAAGGGGTGGGTGGGGGAGGGGGGGCTTGATAGCGTCGGGGCGGGCGGATGAGGGCTAGACGTTGACGACGGTGGAGGAGGGGGTGTTGGATTCGGTTATCCGTACCCTGGTTCACACGTATGCGCCATGTAGCCGAGCAGGCGAGCAACGCAAGTACAATGGCGAGCTTGGCCATCATCGCCGTGGGCAGTGCCTGGGGGTGCCTGGGGGTCTGTGTAAGACGCTGGGTGCTCACCATGGCCATTTATAGCCTAACGCTGGCTCCAAGACGAGAGACACCGTGTTACCGACGCGTGCAGATGCACCGAACGCTGGTTTCCGCTACATCTAATACAGTTTGACATCCCTCTGCAGTCCAGAGTAAGACAAAGTATGGACACATCGTTTTGGCTCCCAGGATCAGATGAGCCCGGAAGTGAATAGTAAAATGATGAAAAATAGTAAAAAAATTCAAAAAGATATTGTGACGAAAGATGATTGAGTGCATGATGTTTGTGTAAAAGTTTAGAGTATTTTGGACATCCGAGTGACTCTCAGCAAAAAAAATAAAATTGAGGCCGTGAAAAATGTTTACACCACGTTCAGCATTAAATACACACTAGTACGTACTCCCTCGGATCCTTTTTAGTATGCATACAAGTTTTGTCCGAAGTCAAAGTATCTTTACTTTAGTGAAACTTTGAAAAGTTTGGCTTGACACAAATCTAATATGCAGAGTAACAAGGACCGGATGGAGTACTTCTAATCATGGGAGATAAGTTCTACGCGAATGAGATTGCTGCCAATGAAAGCATTAATTATGCGTGACAGTGCCACAATCCTAAGAGCAACCATGTTAAATTTCTTTTTAGGGGGCCGATGGCACATACTCTATCACTCTTGTGTGGAGAAGAAGAAATGAAATTCAGGAGTGTTTTATACCTTCTCTATTTTCATTTTCTTAGTGGAATCATCAGTGGGCTTTATTCATTATATCATTTAATAGACTAATATAATGTACAATTCAGGTCGGCACAATCATCCAAACATATTATCTTCGGGATATATATATGACTATAGGAGCCCGTCGGTCCCAACATCATTTCATTTCATAGAAGCTGATCAACACAAAAGAATTATTCGTTTACACACAAAACGTGTGTGTGTGCAGCAAACCGAAGGCAAACGAGAGAAACCCCTACTCCCTCCGATCCATATTACTTGTCGTTGACTTGTACAACCATGTACCAAAGTCAGCAACAAGTAAAATGGATTGAAGGGAGTACTACCAGCTGAACAAAGCACTAGAACTACCAGCAAACCAGAAATGCCACGGTTCTCTTCATCATCATGCCACAGACCACAGAGCACACTGTAACGGCCTCCCCCCATTCTCACTTGCACACCACCGCCAAGAGCAGGTAAATTTGTCTTCTGCAAGGCAGACCAAGAGACAACACATGTGAACATCATGGAAATAAATGCACACTGCCCATAACAGCATTACGTTTAGCAGGGTAAATATCCCATAATGTAGGACGTTTTTTGACACTAGTGTAGTGTCAAAAAATGTCTTACATTATGGGGACGGAGGGAGTACTATTCTTTTCCCCTGCCCGCCATAAAATTCAAAGCATTATAGACCCCAAAGCAACGCTACAATGCAACTCCAGCAGAAACTATTTTTCTCCCCTGCCGCCCTTCAAATTCAACATCCAGGCACATAAAATCGTCATCTTAACAGGACAAGGGTTTTTCATCCACGTCCAGAGCAACAACAACAATACTCCGAAGTCCAAACACACCTAGGCACAACACACTGAAAAAAAATGCAACCAATTGATTCTTTGCAGCAGCTACGACGTAGCTAAACAACGGGAATCAACATTGGGCTCATGAACTTCCCAAATAAAAGAAATCTCTTAGTCCTTCGTGACATCACGCTTTGCTATTATCTTCATCTAAACTCCATGTCTTTGATCCTGAACAGAGTGGACAACCTCAACACGATATGAGGCCACTATTACTTAACTTTTTGCCCAAACATGCATGTCCGACCACCTCTCCAAATGACATTGTTCTATGGCTGTCGCATCCACGATGACAGCAGTCATTTTCGTGGAAGCACACTGAAAATTCCTACTCATCACGTCGACAATCAACCTTTTCAAGCTAGATATAGACTAGCTTGAGCATTATAAGGGGAGTAGGTATATTTGGCCTACTGGGCTGGGCCTATTTATTACTCCCTCCGTTCGGATTTAGATGTCGCGGCTGCTGTACATTATGCATTTTGCAAACATGTCCTTATACTTTTGAATCATTTGAAAAACGCCCCCGTCTCCTTCCTCACTTCTCCACCGTCGCTCGCGCGTCGCCGGCTCCGGCCACCATCCCCCGTCTTCCTCCCCCGTTCTCCTTAGCACCCAGAGAGAGTCTCCGCGTGTCGCACGACCCAAGCCGCCTGTGCAGGAGACGACCTGCGTCGTCGCGGAGGAGACGCGCAGGACCTCCACGGAGGCGCCTTGCGCCGCCGCACAGCTGCGCAGCCGCCATGGGTGTGCCCTCGCCTACCTGAGCAGCGGGATTGCTCCTAAAGTTCTTCCTCTTTGTCACCTCCCTCTGAATCGTGCCAAGAAGCAGTAAATCGACGACTAGGTCCTCGATTTGGTCCGCCTTGGCCGCCGTCGCCGCGGACAATTTTGGACGCCGTCGCGGCGCTGGGTCTTCGTCGCCGCTCTGGCCCAGGGTCCTCATCGCCGCGTTGGCCCTGCTCAACCTCTCCTCCAAGCCCAGGGTCTTCCTCTCCGTGCTGGCCCTCCTCCGAAGGTCGTGCCCGCCCTCGCCTCTGTTGCTGCTGGTATTCCCCGCCCCCGCCTTTGTTGCTGTTGCTGCTGAATTAAAAAGAACTTGATTGTAAAGCTGAATATTGAATTACTCAGATCATGAGTTCTTAATTGCTGGATTGCTTAATACTTGAAAGATCAGGGCACTGAGTGAGTGATTCTAGTTTCTTGAACGCGTCGGGCTGGCTCAGGGCATTGTCTAGCAGAGCCTTCTTACTGTTGCTGATCACCTCCCTTGATTGTCCCCGGTTCCCAGTTCTTGAGCTGCTTCCCAGAACCAGTATCATTTTCTGCAAACAAGAAGCGGGGTTTAGTCTGAGTTGTGGAAACAGGGAAAAAAATATCACTCTCTGAAGTTGTAAAATCTGTCAATCAAATTCACTGTTTGGAGCTGCAGATTGATCTCTTCTTTTACAATGGCCTTAGACCAATAGGTTCCCTGGTTTCTACTTTTTGTTGCAATTTGGTCTCTGTATCATCATTCTGGCAAGCACACAGTACGTATGTTCCTTTTTGCTATTTGCAGAGGATACCAACCAAAGTACGGTACAAATTCAGAAGTGCATTCCTTTGGGTATTAATATTACACGGAATACTGATGGTACACATGATCCTTCAATCTGAAGGTAGCACTAGAGAGAAACAAGATAGATACACACATGCTTAGGATTCGCAACCGGCGGATGAGGGCAGACGATCTTGACATCCTTACTCATCTTCCTCTTGAGCCACCGGCAGAGCTCGGCCGGATCCACCTTGATGTTTATGAATACTGAATACTTGATGTTCTGTACTGAATACTGAATTAAAGAGAACTTAATTGCTGCTGGTATTAAACAGAACTTGAATACCAAATGAAGCTGGATTAAACATAACTTGAATAGAGCTTGAACCTTTGCATTATGCATTTTGCAAACATGTCCTGAATGCAAAATAAGTGGTACATGTCCTGAATGCCAAATGTCATTCCACTGTTCCACTTATCTAGGAATTGTAAAAGAAACAAAGCTTTTAACAGCTGCTCTTTGTTTACTCTCAAGTCTGAACAAAAGACAGCATGGTGTAGGCTCAAGCAAGCAGCCCATCACTACCTACTTGTTCTGCAATAACCAATGAAGCAAATAACCAATGAAGCAATAACCATCAGTCTAGCAAACAATTCTTGTGGAGAGAACTATTTTCAGGTGCCTCTTTGATTTAGCTGATTTAACTTGACCAGAATGTTCTTTCTTATTGGAACATGAACAGTTACCTGAGCAAGTGCTCCACCGCCGCAATGATGTTTGGGATTGATCTTAACATGAGTCCTCCACAAGATGATGCCTCAGAACCTGCAGATCAACAGGAAGAACAGAACAGTGAACAACAATACAACAATGAGGAACCAGTCAATAATGAAGCAACATGTACAGTACTACCTCCAAAACTTTTGCATTTGCATTTCATTTTCATGATCTACTCCTATTATTTGCAATAGCTACATGACTTATCTTTTGCTCCTTATTTGACAGGGGAAGAAGCAAGTGGTGTAGAGGAACCAATTCATGAAGAAGCAAGTGGTGTAGAGGAAGCAATTCATGAGGAAGCAAGTGCTGTACAGAAACCAATTCATGAGGAACTCACAAATGAGGAGAGATATGGTATTTTTTTTGCACTCATGGTGATCAACACCCAAAATGGACAAGTTCTGAAAAAAGACAAGCAGGTCATTGCTAGCCTACTCGATACAACCATAAGAACTGTTGAGAGAATATGGGAAAGAGCTCTTAAACAGATTGAAAAAGGGGAGAAAGTTGATGTCTCAAATCAAAAGCCAGGTAGAGTTGGCCGCAAGCGGAAAGATTTGGATCTGTCGAGGGTGGTGACAATCCCATTGAACAGAAGGAGAACATTGCGAGGTCTGTCAAAGGCATTGGGTGTAAGCTGCACGACCTTACACTCAAGGTTCGAGTGGGGTCATTTGAGGCGTCACAGTAATAAGTTGAGGCCCCACTTAAACCTGTCCAACATTGTAAAGAGATTGAAATGGTGCTTGGCTATGTGTGAAGATTATTGGTCTGCGACACGGGAATTAGACAACATAGCCTACATGGATGAAAAGTGGTTCAACATGACTGGGGAGGTGAACAACTACTATTTGCTTCCCGAAGAACCCGACCCCTTGCGCACCTTGCATCATAAGGATAGCATCGCCAAGGTGATGTTTCTCGCAGCCGTGGCTAAACCAAGATACGGCAAAGGTGGTGAGGTCACTTTTGATGGAAAGCTCGGCATTTGGGCTTTTGTCACAGAGTCTCCTGCTCAAAGAACCAGTGAAAACAGAGATAAAGGGACGCTCGAGCTCAAATCATTGAAAGTCACACGAGATGTAATGAGGTATTACATGTGTGAGAAACTTATTCCTGCGATCCAAGAGCGCTGGCCGGACGAAGATGAAGGACGGACAATCTATATCCAACAAGATAATGCCACGCCACATATTCTTCCCGATGACCCGGTTTTCCGACAAGTCATAGAACAAACTGATTTGGATATTAAGTTGCTTCAACAGCCTCCAAACAGTCCCGACATGAACATTCTTGATCTCTGCATATTCAGGTCTCTCCAGTCCCACACTGATAGCAGAGCACCTCAAAGCATCAGGGAACTGATAGAAGGTGTGGAGGAGGAATATCGAAACTACCCGGTTGATAAGCTAGCTAGAAGCTTCGTGACGCTGCAGTCATGCATCCGAGAAGTAATGAGAAACAAGGGAGCGATAAACTACTCGATCCCTCACATGAACAAGGAACGCCGGCAGGCAGAAGGATGACTTCCTATAGCTCTATCTATCGACCGTGAGCTAGTTGAACAGACCATAGCCTTTATAAAAGAGGCAGAAGCAATCTTAGCAGCAGAAAAAGAGCAGAAGCAGCAGGAAAAGAGCAGCAAGAAAAGAGCCGCAGCAGCCTTGAAGAAGCAGAAACATCCTTCGAGTACCAGCAGCCTCCAAGCAGCAGGAAAAGAGAACCTGGAGCCTTCAAGCAGCAGAAACACCCTTCGAGTACCAGCAGTCTCCAAGAAGCAGGAAAAGAGCAGCAACAACCTTCAAGCAGCAGGAAAAGAGCACGAGCAGCCTCCGAGCAGCAGGAAAAGAGCAGCCACCTCCTTCAAGCGGCAGAAACACCCTTCGAGTACC